TAAGAATGAGGATCATAGGATTGGCTTACTATTCCTTCATCTGTCTGCTGAAATATTGGGCACTGACAGCGCGCAAATCGAGAATCAAATACTGTATCGAAGAAATGAATACAGACTGGAAGCAGGTTAGTTGGGGCAAATGTTTTCGTGACAAGTGGATAAGATATATATTGTTGTACCACGATACTTGGTACACATTTGCTTAAAAAAAGGGGACTTTTAGGATTTTAAGATTTTACAACGTACATCGGAAAATCTTATGAGACAATTAATATTGGCTTAAAATAGCTACAAAGTAAAAATAGTAGAACGCATGATAGGAAAAAAGTGAATATTTTCCTAGTTCCATATTAGTTCTATATTACGACATTTGGTACACTTTTGCTAAAAAAAAAAAGGGGGATAGGATTTTAAGATTTTACAACGTAATTAGTATTTTACATCGAAAAACAATTTTATGAGACAATTAATATTCGCAATAAAATATCTACAACGTAAAAATAGTAGAAAACATGATAAGAAAAATTGAATATTTTCCTAGTTCTTTATATTTATGTACAATGTAATACTCGTGTCATTCTTCCACTGAGTCATTCGTTCGACGGAATGATGAATTCTTTTTCAACAAAATGCAAATTTTTGTATCGAAAAAACGTTCTACAGGTGGAACTCCAAAGAGATCGTACGTGTATGCTAAAGTACGGGAAGATCGGAAGAGATCTGACTGTATTCTGTGCTGTGTTTCTGTACTGTGGTAACATATTCTACATCACAGTTCTGCAGTATGCGATAGGATCGCAAATAGATGATAATAATCGTACGATCAGAGTACTATTGTATCCTATGTATAGCGGCCATATCGATGCCCAACAAAGTCCTGTCTACGAAATCACGTATACCCTTCAATGTTTATGCTCAATCGTGATAAACGCTGTGATATGCGGTTGCTGTGGATTGGCTGCGTTTTTCGCAACGCACACCTGCGGACAGATCGACGTCATCATGTCTCAGTTAGACGATCTGGTTGAAGGGAAATTTTCCAAGAAAAA